AGATGATTTTTTTATTGCTGGTTTAAGATTTTCATGTTATAATGACTAGATTTTATGACTTAACCGACGTTTTAGTGAGAGGGTAGGAGAAGCTGCCCTGGGGACCACTACTCACACTCCACAAATACATGGCAATTTCTTTCACAAGCCTCTCCAATGAGTGAGTTTATGTGACTGAAAGAACGCATCAGTAATTGCAATACCAGGGAATACTACAGAGTTTGCTTCTTGTCAGTGATGTTGCCAGGACACATTTGAACTTGAGACTTGGCTGCATTTATCTTGGGCAGATGAGACCAGATCTCTTATTGGGGTTTCTGGTGAAAGATCAGTCTCTTTTTTGGTGCCATATCAGCAACTTATTCAATCTTTGTTGTTCCTCTCACTTGTATACTGGAGAGGGTAGAAAGGAGGAGGAGGAGAAGGTGAAGCATATGCCTACAGGAGAAAAGAAAGACTCATCTTTTTAAAAAAACCTTACAATGAGTGTATTGATTCATGCTTCTGCAGCTGCTGCTTATGTTTTATTCACACAATATGTCATTCATCCATTCACTGTTAATTTATGAAAAATATCATATTTATCAGGAGAAACTGTCTGGCAGAGGTCCTTTTCCGCATTGAGCAGTTTCCATCTCAATCCTGGTGGACACAGCCCCAGCATCTCTGTTTTCTCTGTCACCTCTACTTAGCAAGTTGTTTCCTGTCACCGGCCTTTCAATGGCATGCCTTCTGCTTAGAATGCCACTCCCCAGAATTTCCCATGGCTGCCTTTTCATTATCTCTATCCCAGTTGAGAAGTCTCCTCTCATGGGCCTCCCTAGGCTCACATTCTCTGTCATCCGCCATCCCCATTTTATTTTCGTCGGGACATTTATTTCTACCTGCCGTGTCATATTGTATGTCTTTCCCCATATACGTATGGACATTATGAAGGCAGGGATTTTGTCATGCTGACCTTTGCACATCTAGTACCTAGACCTTTGCCCCGAACCTAGTGCATAGTGGGTGCTCATGAAACGTATGGCAGCTATTGTGTAGCGTGTACTGCAGTTGGTGTACGTATGACAGCTAATACAGGGCAGTGCATTAAGGAACAGATTGCAGAGCAGGCTACCAGGGTTCTCGTCTTGGTCCTGTCGATTTCTAGGTGTGAGATTTGGGCAAAAGTTACTTAGCTTTCTTTGTTTTATCTGTAAAGGGTTGGTGATAATACAAGAGTACTTCATAAAGTTTATAGGGATCCTATAGGAATGAGTAGAACTGCCCCTTTGGGTCTCCGTGGCTGTAAATCTTTACAGGAATAGGAATTCACATTTCTCCTGGGTAGTGGCTGGTAGTTTTGAACTGGCGACCTTGTGGTTAGCAACCCAACCTGTATGAGTCGGAATTGACTGAATGACAGTGAGGTTTTTTTGTTTGGGTCAGACATTTTGCTGGGCCTCTGGTCAACATAAGCTGAGTTTACAAAAAATAGGAAATGGTAAGTTTTTATGATTCAATAACTGTTTGCTGTACCTGGCCTGTTAGGTCTCAGGTCCTTTATTAAGAAGTGGACATCTAGGATAGGTAGGCTTTTTCTGCATGTATGAAGCCTCTTAGTCTACTAGGTGCAGACACTTAGAAATAGGAAAGAAGAAATATATATGTAAATATGGAATATGATAACTGCTCTTAGGAAATTTGGCGAAGCGTGTTTTGAGGAATTAGGCGGGGCGAGGAGGTGGAGATGCGGTAACTAAACACGTGGTCAAGGAGAATCTCTGAGTAGTTGCAACTCAAGGTGATACGAAAGATGGAGTGGAGTCAGCTGGAGAGTGTGGAGTCAAGGATATAAAGACAGGATTCATGGCTGGGGGAATATTGTAGGCAGAAGAAACAGCATATACAATGTGATTAAGATAAAAATTAAAAAGACCTCACTGCTAGTGAGTTGATTCTGACTCATAAGAACCGGATAGAACTGCCATGGTGGATTTCTGAGACTATAACTTTTTGCAAGTGTAGAAAGATGAAGCTTTCTCCCACAGATCGGCTGGTGGTTTCCAACTGCTGACCCTGTGGTTAGCGGCCCTGTCCATAACCACTATGCTACCAGGGCCATACTCAGCCCTTCCTCTATCGACTCAATTTTTCCTACAGCCACCAGAATGCTTTCTAATAAATTCGAGTATCTCTTTGGTAGCAACCAAGCAAGTTGAAAGACTTACTTTTGCTTTTCTTTGTGTACTTTACTAATGGCATTGAGCTATGCTGTTGTTGTTACACAGCAAGCATCCAGTTGGTTCTGACCCACAGCGTCCCTGTGCCCAACAGAACGAATCGCTGCCTGGTCCTGTGCCATCCTGGTGCTCGTTCCTGTGCTTGAGCCCCTGGTTGCACCCACTGTGTCAGTCCTTCTCCTCAAGGGCATCCCGCTCTCTTGCTGCCCTTCCATGTAACTAACACGATGTCCTCCTCCGGGGACTGGTCTCTCCTGACCCAGGAGCACTCCGGCTGTACTTCCAAAACAGATTTGTTTGACCTTGTCCGTGGCACTTTCAATTTTCCTTTTCAGAACCACGATTTTAAAAGTTACTATTCTGGTGTAGTATTCCTTATGGGAGAGCTTTCCATATCTCTACATAGCACGTTTTCTTAGTCTCTTTGTATTGCTCTCAAACCGTTGTACTCCATGTTAGCTCTGTAGCATTGTTCATTTGTCCATGGCCTTTTGAATCAGTTCTACTAGTGTGCTATTAGAAGCAATGCTGTCATTCATAACTGTGTCTGTGTGCTGTTTTACATGTGTGCACATGTGTAGCTGTTGTTAGGCGTCGTTGAGTTGGCTCCAACCCAGAGCCACCCTACAGACAACAGAATGAAGCACTGCCTGGCCCTGCAGCATCCCGACAGTGGTTCCTACGTCCTAGCCCATTGTTGGACACCTGTGTCAATCCATGTCGCTGAGGGCCTTCCTCTTTTCTGCTGCCCTTCCACATTACTAAGCACGATGTCCTTCTCCAGGGACTGGTCCCTCCTGACCAGATGTCCAAAGATTAAGGCTGTCCTTGCCTCTAAGGAACACTCTGACTATATTTCTTCCAAGATATTAGTTTGTCCTTTAAGGATAAAGTCTATGAAGGAAAATTGCTAGCCAAAGGACAGTTTGTGTATATGATAGAGACCAAACTGCTTTGCACAGAGATTCTACTCATTTATCTTCCCCAAAGTAATGCATGAGATTATTAATACTTCCACAGACTCATATTTGGTGTGTTGTATAAAACTTTTATATTTTTCACCAGTCTCATAATCATGTTTCAGGAAAAATAAAGATGCCAGGAATGAGCTGCAGAGTGAGTAAGGGGATGTTACAGAGGGTGCGCAGGTTGTCTAGTGCAGTGTTTCCCAACGTGGGCAATAAGAATGGTATAGGGGGGCTGTGAAAGCAGCTTCCTACACTTTATTGTGGGCTGTAGTACAAATGGTTTTAATTGCCAGGTGGACACTGAGGTTTTTTTTGGGTTTTTTTTCTGAAAAGGGGACAGTAAGCCAAATAAGTTTGGGAACCACTGGCCTAGAGAATTGTCGACCATTGTATAAAATAATAGATTTTCTATTTGGATGGAAAGACATAGGGGTATTTCTTTTCATCCCGAAGCGGGGATGACTTCTTAAAAAAATAACAACTTGTACTCCTTTGTGGTGACCACATCCCGAAGGGGGGATGCCTTCTTAAAAAATAAAAGTGTGCACCTTTGTGGTGACCGCAGCAGTTATAGTGGTTTGGACTAGGTGTGAAAGAATGTTAGATTAGATCGTGAATGCAGTGGTTAGATTAGATCATGAATCTGTGGCAAGTTGTTTGATTTTTAACTATAATTTAAAGATTGACTCATCAAGATTTACAGATAGAGGATTTAAGAGAAAGAGTTATCATAATTTCTCTTTTAGATTTTTTTTTTTTTGACCTGAGCAACCTGAATGATAATGTTGCCATTTACTAAAATAAAGTGTTGCGGAAACAGTGAGCTTTTGGTAAGGCATGAAGAGTTTGACTTTGGACATGTTAAGGTTCTAAGTGAAGCTGTTAAATAGGATGTTGGATTTTGAATACTGTAGTTCAGATGATAACTTGGCTAAAATTCAATAGGCCATTACTAAGGGAATATACACATTCTAAATTCCTAGCATCACATTCAAGTTCTTGTTTAACCTAACCTCACCCTGCCTTTGTAAGTCTTGCCTCACACTAACAGTAAGTTAAGTAGGCACGTGAAATAGTTAGGTTTATTGTACCCACCAGGCCGATTGGAACAGGTGGGATTAATCAGGTCACAGTTTGATTGGAGGGCAAAGAGCTAAATGGCCCTGCAAGTGCTGGCCCATTTCCTCTTGCTCTTTGGTGATCAGACCAGCATGCTGCTGCTTTAGCTAGTTCTCTGCCTCAACTGGTTAGCTGCATTACCTGTGGGCCAACCTAACCCATGGATCCTGTTGCTAGAGCTTGAGGCTCATTTGAGACCTGCTTCACCACACTGCTGGTGCATACATTATTTGAGCTTAGGGGCTGGTGGATCTTGTCATCTTGCATTGCTTGCATTCAATATCCCATCCAGGCCTGCTTCTCTAATCTCTCAAGCTACTGACTGTTGCTGACCCAGACTGTTGTTTGCTGCCTGTGGGCAGACTCTGCCTAACAGCATGATTGTGATTATGCTAAGCTCTTGCCCATATTAAGCCTTTTGTCTGTGCCATTCTTGTTACCTGGAATGTCTGCCATCTCAACTCTACCAATGGGTATACCAGCCAGTTTTCCTGACTTTATACATAGGAGTGGAGAGAGAAAATGTGAGCCATGGAAAGAAAAAAAAATATATATATTATTTGATGACATTTAATAAAAGGCAGCTTGGCTGCTTTTGTTTCTGTGCACTCACTTATAACTTGTGGCATCAACTGCCATTGTCCTCGCTGACTTTTAAAACTAAGTTAACTTTTATTTTATTTGTTTTCAGATGGGAACATTTAAAGTGCATGATGGCGAATATTTCTTAGAACCTATAATGAAGGCAGATGGGAGCGAACATGAAGACGGTCACAACAGGCCTCATCTTATTTACAGACAGAAATTAAAGAAGAACCAATCTCAGCCGTCTGACAACCCTTGTGATGTTTCAGGTACCTTCTGTGAAACACACTTTTCCCCCTTGTGACCCAGTGTCAATTTCCGATTGGGAAATTACAACTTCAGTAGTTTCTTAAATAATGCCGTATACGCTATGCTAAGGTTAATCTTGGGCCTCTAAATATTCATTGGCAGCCCTCTGATATCTGTTATCTGATATAGTAGACTAAATTTAAATTGAAAACAAGTCACTATAAGAAATTGATAGCGAATCATCATAGAAAAACTTCACTTTAACCTTTTATTCACACTAGTATACCAGTATACTTTTCGTTTTCCTAGCAGAATTTTAAATGATAAAGAAAAAACAAAACAAGACAAACTAAACCTAGGCTTTTGATAAGTCTAATAGATAACAAGTATAATAGATATTTCAAAATATTTCTGCAAAAAGTCATAGTTTTAACCTGACTTGAGACATATAAATTCTTAGAGGAATTATTTTCATCAACAAATAGATACAAACCTAAGTGTACAAACAGTTGTGTGATATAAAGAATTATACACTATGACCCCTATCATGCAAACAACATGGGTCAAGAGCTTGAAAATAGTTATTAACACTTGAACAAGAACCTTATGTTCTTACTGTTTCAATAACTGGTCCTGGCACTTTTAAAAATTTGTGTTTACTTTCTTATTCTCTTGCTTTTTAAATTAGTTTTGCTAATTTTAAACATATTCAGTATGTGTGTGTGTGTGGCCAAACAATAAATCCATCCCTAAATGTGTTAGTCTGGGTACTTTAGAGAAACAAATCCACAGAAACTCATGTATAAGGTTAAGTGCGCATCAAGAAAACATCCTAACCCAGTGCTGCCCAAGCTTACTGTCCAACATTAACCCATATGTCCAACACCAATCTACAAAGTCCTCCTCCATCTCACAAAACAGATCAATGATGCTGACTGCAGGAGGAAAGCCGAGTCAGTGAATGTGTAAACATCTCAGTGCTGGCAGGGGTCTCCACACGGGTGCTCCAGCACCCAGGGCTGCATTGGGGAAGGTCCATGTGGCTTCTCCTCAGGGATGTCTTGCAGGAAGTGAGCCTTGCCAGCTGAAGCAGGGAACTGGTTAAGGCAGCTACACCCTGTTCTGACCATCAGAAAGCAAAAGACCCAAGAACTAGAAAGGCGAGACTCACTGAGCCATTTATCCCTCCACCCTTTGTGTTTATCGGCCAGGTTGGCACAATCAACTAACTACCTCACTAAGTAACAATAACACATTAGTCAGTTTTGCATGCCTTTACCTTTATATAAAGGGACACATATTGTGTGTATTTTTCTGGGACTTGTCCCTTTTTGCTCAATGTTGTTTCTGAGATTATCTGTGTGGGTGCATGCAGGAGAAAATCAACCATTCTGTTGCAGTGCTGCATTCTATTGTCATAGTGTATCTCAGTTCATACATGCCATCTCTGGTGGGCTTTTCAGTGCTTCGGGAATTTTACTGTTATCAACAGTACTGCTGTGAATGCTCTTGCTCAGATGATCTGGTGCCTGCATTTGAGAGTCTCTTCCAGATAAGCACAGAGATGCTAGATAAACCTACATGTTTTTTATAAAGTAGCTTTTGTCAGCTAATAATTCAAGCCGTGTATGAGAGAACTCTGTTTTTACCATCATGTTTTTCTTTTTAAAATCCAGACTGCTGAAGATTTATAATGGATTAGAATCTAGGAATCATAGGTTTCTATGAATCTGTTTCTGTTCAAATAATGTACTTGTATGTTGGCCAAGGGCTGTATTTATTGAGATGTGTCAGTATAGGAGCAAGCATCTTCACTGTTCATATGATGGCATACAATATGACGGTGGGGAAAAGGCACCTGCAGTTATCATCAAAGTACAAAATCTAGACAAAAGAGTAGGATTAAGAAGGATTTATTTGCAATTGTAGGTGTCCGTACTCTATAGTTCCAAACACTCTGATGCCATCTGTTTTGGGGTATAATGATATGTAGGCCTTTGAAGGATCCTTGGGAATGCACTTCTTAACCTTTGCTGTTATAAGAGTGCCATTTTGGAGTGGTTCTCACTGCGTCTAAGGCCGTGTTTAAAATCTATTGACATAATAGATGTCTTTCTTATGCTTTTAATATGAGCATAAGGGTTTCATTTTTACGGCTTCAAAGAAAACACAAATGGGTAGAGCTTCACAATAGAGTCTTACAGAGGCAGCTTCTGCTTGCTCTGATCCCCATTCAGAAGCAGCTTGTTTAATGAGCTGTTCAGCTTCTTGAAGAAGCAATCCACCAAGTGGGCGTTCTGAATGCAGAACTGCCTCGGCTAATGACACGCAGGGCTTCGCATTCCCAGTCGATGTTCATGATCAGCACGAAGATGGTTCAAAAAAAACCCGGCTCTTTTGTTTAAAAATCAATGATACTAGACATTTATTTTTTTTAAACTCCAAATAAAAAGCAAATAGAAAGCCCAGAGGCTTAATTTTCTTCTTCCTTCCTATGAAAGAAAAGTGTTCTTTTATTAAGTGTTCTTTTTCCTTCCTACGACATCGTTCACTCCAATTTAAAAGGTAGCATCCATTCTTTTCAATCTTAATTTACTTCCATTTTGCAATACTATTAAAGTACCCATTTTTAATCAACCACAGAGGCTATCAATTAATGACCAAAATAATTTGCTGTTCATTTATTGTTTTGCTAGTAAATGTGGGGCATTATGAATTTCATTAGTAAAGAATTACTAAGTCTTCCCGCTACATAATTCACATACTGTTATTCAAAAATACTTGCAAAATCTTATTTTTCATTCTAAAGGATGAACCTGCAGGAATCCCCTCCCAATAGATGGGCCAAAAGATGAACACATGAACTAAAATTATTAAATGGAAAAGAAAAAGCAATGTCTTCCCTCCTCCCATATTTATTGATGATTTAAAAAATCTCACTATGACCCTAAAATGTTGCAATTCATAGTGTTATCATCTTTACCGAATTAAATGGTTGCTCAGGTGAGACTTTTACAATGGGCTATGAGACCCTGCGAATTAGTAGCCAAACCTGGCAGTGGTGAATGCCATGATTTGAGAGAGTTGCCAGATATCCTTTTAGTAAAATCCAGTGGAAATGGCAAATAAGCCAACAAAAAACCTACAAAATGAGTGAACACTGAACAACTAATCCATAGCCTCAAAATGAGACAGGGGGAGGGGACCCTGGAGGGGTTGAATAGAGAACAACATTCCTGAATTCTGTGGAGTGTAATCCTTCTGTTACTTATGTTGGAAAGCAACCAAGGAATGGCCCGCGTTTCTCAGGCATGAGCACAGAACATGGGTAGAACAATGAAACAGCGGATTTGTTGTGAGTGAAAAGAAAATGTCTTTGAAAACATTTGGGGATGCTGTTAGCCCGCTTTAACATTTCTATATTTTCCTAGAGATTTTTTTCTTCTTATGTGCTTTTGAGTCCTTAGCATATATAAAGAATCGTACTGGATTAAGATTTGAGTCTCTCTGTTCAGGGTTTCAAAGGAGCTTACATGGTGTAGTGGGTTATTGGGCTACCAACCACAAGGTCAGCAGTTCAAACCCACCAGCTGCTCCACAGGAGAAAGTCAGGGCTTTCTGCTCCTGTAGCGATTTCCAGTCTTGGAGGACTGAAGGAGCAGTCCCATGCAGTTGCTGTGAGTTGGAGTTGGACTTGATAGTTTGGGGGTTAGTTTCATTTTGGGGTATTTAGGGTTTCAAGGCCCAAAGAGTGTAAAAGGACACAAAAGCAGAAATAGAAAAAGAAAACTGATTGGGGGCTACTCTACCAGTAGTAGGAGCAGTGGAGCATGCAGCTCAAGGGCAGTGAACAGGCCTTGTGAGGAGTATATAGGCACTTTGAAGAGAGGGTGAGAGAGGGACATAAGTAAAAGGAGCAGCGTTTGCAGGTACAAAGTTCTGAAGTGTGTGTAGACAATGAAACGCCTGTATAAGCTCTTTCTAGCCTTGGCTTTGTAACTCTCACAAAATGGGAGCAATGCGAGTGTTTTATGACCTCTGAAGAGATTGGTCAGTTTGTAGTCCTCCTGGGAAGGCCCTTGAACCAAGGATTCAAAGTTCCAGTGATGAGAACCTGCCAGACCCAGAAAAAAACATCTGTAACACTGAATAAGGGCTGAGATGACAAGGGACGGTGGTAATGGGCTTGTTGTTCCATGCAATGGAAGTTGAGAGCTTTTGGGCAGAGACTTTGCAGTTGATCTGAGAAGGCGATATTATTTGTGAATGGTCAGAAAGGCCTGAGTGCACATGCCAGAATTTCACACTTCCTCCACCCCCAGGCCTGGGGAGCATGGCAAGAGCTGGAAGCAGAGGCTCCAAAGGGCCCAGCGACAAAAACGTTGAAGATCCCGTGTTGGGAGGGGTCCCCCTAAGGTGAGACAAGGCCCAGCAGGGCCCCGCACTGGAGCAGAAGCCTTGCATATCATGGTGGTAGTCAGAAGAAATGATGACATGAACAAAACGTCAGACTGAACTATGGCAGGCATGCATAGGGACTTGAAAATTGGGAAACTGCAAGTCTTTCCCCTTTAAGAACCCGTTGTTATTGTTACTGTTTGCTTTTGTGGGTTACGTAATCTGTTGTCAATTTAAGACTTAAGAGTGAGAGGGTGGAGTTTAGCCTGTAATCAGGTCGCAGCTTGATGACCTCATTTGGAAGCGCTAAGGAGATAAATAGCTCATTGGAGCCAGAGCACACGCTCACTCCCTGTGAGACATTACTGAGGAAGACCCTGATGGAGCTACACTGATGCAGTCAGAGCCCTGGGAGCTGGAGGAGACAGGTGGAGACCCCTGCCAGTGCTGAGATGCTTACACCGCCACTGGATCCACAAGACTTTCCACCCACTGGCCTGTGATCTTCCTGCATTCAGCGTCATTGCATGTTTCGTGAGTCTGAAGAGTAATTTATGAACTAGTATTGGACATATGGGCTAATACTGGACTATGGCCTTGATCTGGACTGGACTGGGATATG